CAGCCCCGGCAGCAGCAGCAGCAACAGCATGAGGCCGAGAGCTGCTTGCAAGGAACTCCAGCAGCGCAGCAGAGACGAGCCAGTGTCTACTGGATGCAGCCTCCGCTGCTGCTGCTGCTGCTGCTTCTGCTGCTGCTTCAGGAAGCTGCTGCGCCGCAGCAGGAGGGCCCCACAGCGCTGCCCACGCAAGACGAATAAACACACGACTGCAGCAGAAGCAGCAACAGCAGCAGCACAAGCAGAGCAGCAACAGCAAGCCTCAGCAGCAGCAACGGCAAGAGCAGCAAAACAAGCAACAAAGCACACAGTAGCTGCTGCAGCAAACCCACAAAAAAGCGCCAGCAACAACAGCAACTGCAGCAGCAGCAGCACCAGCAACAGCAGCAGCAAGAGCACGCACTTGGGGCTGCCTTCGTCTGCTGCTCCTTCTGGTGCAGCTGTTGCTGCATTTGCTTCGTCCTCCTGAGGCAGCAGCACTGCTGCTGCTTCCCGCAGCAGCGCCTCAGCAGCAGCGCCAGCAGCATCAACTGCTGCGGTTGCCTTTGCTGATGTGGCTTCTGCTGCTGCTGCTGCTGAAGACTGCTGCTGCGCATTTGCTGCAGCGTACAGACAGACAGCGAGAGGAACTACTTGATTGGCATGCTGCTGCAGCAGCCGCTGCTGCTGCTGCTGCTGCTCTTCTGCTTCTTCACCCAAATCAGCATCTTGGGCAGCAGCGGCATCCGCTGCTGCTGCTGCTGCCTCTCTCCCCTCCTGCAGCAGCGCAGCACATTCTTGCAACAGCTGCACGCAAAGCTGCTGCTGCTGCGGCCTCTTGAGCAGCAGCAGCGCCATTTGCTGCGCCAGCGAGCGCGCCTGTGCTGCTGCTGGTGCCGATATGAAAGGCTGCTGCTGCAGCTGCTGCAGCAGCTGCAGCAGCTTCGCCGCCACAGCAGCAAGTCTCTCCTCGAGGGGAACTGCCTCCGCCAGCAGCGGCAGAGCCTTCAGTGCCTGCATGCAGCAGCAGCAGCAGCAACAGCAGCAGCAGCAGAAGGGTTGACAGCAGCAACAGGGACGCACGCCAAGCCGAAGTAAAAGGACAGCAGCCGCAGCAGGAGCAATGCGCGCAGCAACAGCAGCAACAGCTACACCAACAGCAGCCGCAGCTTCAGCAGCAGCAGCAGCAGCAGCGCACCTCAACAGCTACGCTGTGGTCATCATCTGCTATGCGCTGCAGCAACAAAAACCCCAACAGACGGAGGCGACTTGCTGCTGCTCTCGCCTCTTCCGTTTGCAGCTCTTGACTGCAGCAATCCTCCTCCGGCTGCTGCTGCTGCTGCTGCTGCTGCTGCTGCTGCAGTGCAGCAGCAGCGGCACGGACAGCCTGCAGCCGCAGCATTGCATCCTCGGAGCCCAGAGCAAAGAGGAGAGAGGCCCTGCTGCTGCTGCTGCTGCTGCCGCTGCTGCTGCGGTTAGCAGCAGCAGGTAGCAGCGGAAGCGGCAAGTTGACGGAGGCCAAGCCTTTAAATGTAGCGGTGAGGAAGAGCTGCAGCTGCTGCTGCTGTTGCTGCTGCTGCTGCTGCGCTGCAATGGTCAGAGCAGCAGGCAGAGCCAGCGGATTGGAAGCATCAAGCCGCTGCAGCAGCTGCTGCAGCAGCAACATGAAGCTCGGCGGGACGCTACAAGACAGTTCGCTGCTGCAGTTGTCGTAGTTGCTGCTGCTGCTGCTGCTGCTGCTGCTCCTACGGTCCCTGGGGCTGATGCTGCTGGCGCCCGTCTCATCGCCGCTGCTGCAGCCGGTGCTGCTGCTGCTGCGTTTGCTGCTGTTGCCATCTTTGCTGCTGCTAGCAGCAGCAGCAGCAGAGAAGGCATCAATGATAGCCAAGGCAATACAAACTGCATGAGGGGCCGCGCCCACCAGCTGCTGCTGCTGCTGCTTCTGCTGCTGCTGCAAGGCGCACAGCTTCAATAAAAGTCTCCGCAACTGCCTGCCCAGAGGACTCATCTCTTTTCCACCTTGCTGCTGCTGCTGCTGCTGCTGCTGCTGCGCCTCTGCTAGCAGCAGCCGCAACGCCGACCGGAAGAGAAGTCCTAAGAGGGCGCGAAGGTCAGTATACCCCCCTAGCAATACCTGCAGCAGTAGCAACAGCAGCAGCAACAGCAGCAGCATCAGTATCGGCAGCAGCAATAGCAGGAGCTACGGCAGCGGCAGCATGAGCACGTCCAGCAGCAGCAAGTGCAGCAGCAGCAGCAGCAGCAGCAACTCACCTGCTGCACTGCTTGAGTCAGTTTCTCGCATTTGCTGAGGAGCAGCAGCTGCTCCCGCTGCAGCAGAAGAAGCTGCTGCTGCTGCTGCTGCGCTACTAGCTGCAGCACCTCAACCATCTGAACGGTTTGCTGCAGCTGCTGCTGCTTCAGCACGGGCTGCAGCACGCAGCTAAAGATCTGCAGCAGCGCTTGCTGCTGCAGCGGCGCCTTGGAGGTGAGTCGGCAGAGCAACAGCAGCATCTGCTGCTGAACCTCGGGGTATACCACAGCTGCAGCAGCAGCAGCAGCAGAGCCCCGCATAGCAATGAAGACCGTCTGCAGCAGCGGCGGCACCAGGCGCCGCAGCTGCAGCAAACTAACAGCAGCAGCAACAACAGCTGAGCCCACAGCGGCAAACAGCCGCAGCAGCGGGGCGTGCAGCACCTGTCCGTCTACAGCAGCAGCAACAGCAGCAAAATTCGCCGGTACTTCGATGCCGCAGCGCTGCAGCTGCTGCTGCAGCGGCTGCAGCGCAGCCGCTGTAGCAGCAGCAACAGCATGCCACGCCCCCCTCTGCTGCAGCAGCAGCCGCTGCATTTGCTGCAGAGATATCGGCCGGCCCATGTGCTGCCGCTGCTGCTGCTGCAGCGGGAACCACGGGGAGTTTTGCTGCAGCTGCAGCAGCAGCAGCAGACGGCTGAACAGCAAATTATCATAGAAAGGCAATGCCAGCAGCAGCAGAGTCTCAGGGTCTCTTGCATGCAGCTTCTGCTGCCGCAGCAGCAGCTCTATGCAGCAGTGCGCCTCCTGTCTGAGAAAGAAGGGAGAGAGGAGGCGGCAGCAAACCCGCAGCTGCTGCAGCTGCTGCTGCTCCTGCTGCAGGGTCTGCTGCTGCTGCTGCAGCTGTTGCTGGTACTCTGCAGAGAAGAGGAAATCAAACAGCTGCAGCAGCGGCTGCTCCTGCTGCAGCACCTCAAGACCTGCTGCTGCTGCTTGCTGCACAGCATGTCGGTCTATTAATACAGCATCTCTAGGGTCGTACATAAAGGAGACAACCCCCCGCTTGCTGCTGCTGCTGCTGCTGCTGCTGCTGCTGCTGGCGCGTTGCAGCTGCAACTGGCGCTGCAGTTCAGACACCATTTTCGCTGCTGCTGATGTTGCTGCTCTGTAGCTTGTCGCTGTGGCTGCTGCAGCTGCAGCTGCTGCTGCTGCTGCTGAGACTCAACTGATACTGCCTTCCTCCTCAACGCAGCAGCAGAAGCAGCAGCAGAAGCGCCTGCTGCTGCTTGGGTGGAATACAGCTGCTAACTTCCGCAAAACAAGTCTCCTGCTGCTGCTGCTGTTGCTGCTGCTATTGCTGCTGCTGCTGCTGGGTCCTAATACTCCCGGTGCAGCAGCAAGTGCTGCTGCTGGAACGACTTTGCTGCTTCTGCTCTTAGAAATATCATCAGCAGCGCCTGCGACAGCGGAGCCAGCAGCAGCAGCAGCAGCAGCTAAGGTTGGGGGGCCCCAGCCTTCCACTGTTGCTGCAGCAACAGATCTGCTGCTGCTCCTGCTGCTGCAGAGCTGCTGTTGCTTGTTGAGATGCGCAGCAAATAATAAGCAGTAAAACCTAATTTGCTGCTCTAAATATGCTAGCTGCAGCAACTGCTGCTGCTGCTGCTGCTGCTGCAGTGTGGGGCTGCAGCAGAAGGCCCAGCGTGGGGCGATGCTGCAGCCGAGACTAAACCCTAAACCCTAAACCCTAAACCCTAAACCCTAGCGGTGAAACTCTCAACCCTAAACCCCAAAAACTGCATTTGAAAGGGCAAACCCTAAACCCTAAACCCTAAACCCTAAACCCTTACATTGAAGACAACTCGATTGCGGGCCCGTACACTGCACGGCTCCGCATTGAAACCCTAAACCCTAAACCCTAAACCCTAATCCCTAATCCCTATATATTAAAAACTAAACCCTACAGCTTAAAGCCTGAGCCATGAACCATGAACACTAAACCCTAAACCCTAAACCCTAAACCCTAAACCCTATACCCTTTATTATTACCTGCGCTCTATACCCATTGAACCCTAAACCCTAAACCCTAAACCCTATTTCTAGGCCCTGAAAAATCAGTTGCCGATACACCCGGAAGTTATTTTATTTTATTTTATTAAGAACGCACTTCCCCAGTGAACAGCGCTGCTGCTGCTACTGCTGCACTTGCTGCTGCTGCTTGCCCCTGCTGCCGGGCTTGCAACTGCTGCTGCTGCTACGATGTGCTGCTACCGTTAGACTCGCCGCTGTTGCTTACAGCAGCTGCAAGCAGATGCTGCTGTTGCTGTAGCAAGCAGCTGCTGCTGTTGCATCTGTTGCTGCTGCTACGGCACTGCTGCTGCATCTGCTGCTGCTGTTGCTGTCACGGCAGCGCTGCTGTGCACGTAAACTGCAGTGTCTATACACTCCAGCCCTTCTAGGCTGCTGCTGCTGCTGCTGGTCTCAGTTGTTGCTGCTGCTGTGCTTGCTGCAGCTCCTCGTAGCAGCCGACAGCAAACTGCTGCCAAACCCCAGGCAGTTGCTGAATTGAAACAAACTAAACGGACTCAGCAGCAGCTGCTGCTGCAGCAGCCACAGCAGCAAGAACATCATTAGCGGCAGCAGCGACACCGGCCAAACGCAGCAGCAGCAGCAGCAGCAGCAACACTGCAAGCAGCAGGGCATCAGCAACGGCTCGCACAGCAGAAGCAGCAGCAGCACTAGCACTGATAGTGTAAGCAGCAGCAGCAGCAGCAGCAGCAGCAGCAGCACCAACGGCAAGCACAGAAACACCACCAACGGCGAGCAATGCAGGAGCAGCAGCAGCTCCTGCTGCTGCTGCAGCACATTTGCTGCTGAGATATGAAGGTGAATTAAAAATTCGTGAGAAGCCAAGGTTGCGATTGTCGTTTGTGCTGCTGCAGCAGCAGCAGCTGCTGCTGCTGCAGAAGCCAACTGCACGGGGTCACCTGCTGTGCTGCTGCTGTGCTGTTGCTGCTGCTGTTGCTGCTACTGTTGCTGCTACAGCTGATTTGTTGCCCCCACAGCAGCGGCCATCGCAGCTGCGGCCAACGCACCAGCAAAAGCTGCAGCAGCGGTTGCAGCAGCAGCTGCTGCTGCAGCAACGGTAGCAGCAGCAGGACCTGGTCCTCCCTCCTTAATACACTAAAGGCAGCTCTGGTTGCTCATGCACCATTTGCTGCTGCTGCAACGAAAGCTCTTGCAGCAGCGTCTCCAGCTGCAGCAGCAACAGCGGAGGCAGCAGCTGCTGCTGCTGCTACGGCATCGTGCTACTCATGCCGATGCTTTTTGGATGGGCGCGAGCCCTCATAGGTAACCTGCAGCAGCAACAGCAACAGCAGCAGCAGCAGCAGCAAAGCCAGCATGAGGCACCAGACGACCAGTGGACGCAAGACTACAACTTCAGCAGCAGCAGCAGCAGCAGCACAGCAGCAGAAGCAGCACAGCAGCAGCAGCAACACAGCAGCAGCAGCAGCAGCAGCTTAATGCCTACTTCGTCGTCACTACTACGGCTCCGACGGCTCTGCTTCCTGTTGCTGCAGCACACGCAGCAGCAGCAGCAGCAGCAGCAGCAGAAGATAAAAAGCTGCAGCAGCAAATCCCACTGGCAGCACCTCAGACCCAACAGCAGCAGCAACAGCAGCAACAGCAGCAACAGCAGCGACAGCAGCGACAGCAGCAGCAGCAGCAGTGGTTCGATAACATCCATCAGCCCTTACTCATCAGAGTCCGAGTCGCTGCTGCTGCTGCTGCTGCTGCTGCTGCTACTGCTGCTGCTGCTGCTGCTGCTGGATCTCTTTTTCTTTTTCTTTGAACTTTTTTTCTTTTTCTCCTTCTTTTGTTTTTTCTTCTTTCGGTCCTTCGACTTTTTGCTGCTCCTAAACACCGCAACACCCAAACGCCTGTTGCTGCTGCTGCTGCTCTTCTTGTTGTTGCTGCTGCTGCTGCTGTTGCTGCTGTTGCTGCAACTGCAGGTGCATATTCTGTCGCACTGCCGCGCCTGCAGCTGCTGCTGCAGCTGCGGCTGCTGCAGCGGTACCTGCTGCTGCTGCTACGCCTGCTGCCGTCCACCCTAAGCCCTAAACCCTAAACCCTAAACCCCAACCTACTTGTGTTTTTTCTTGTCTTGTCTCGTAGGAGAAGCGTCTGCAAGAGAGGGATCAGCAGCAGCAGCAGCAACAACTTCAGCGGGATCGTCACCCCACAACCCCCGCGTAGGTGGGCCCTCCTCCAGTTTGTGCCGCATCCGATTCAAACGCTCCCCTGCAGCAGCAGCAGCAGCAGCAACAGCAGCACCAGCAGCAGCGTCAGCAGCAGCAGCAAGGAGCCGTTGGCGCAAAGCAGCAGCAACAGCGAGGAAGTCAGCAGCAGCAGAAAAGATTGAGAGCAAGGAGAGCAGCAGCACAAGGCCAGCAGCAACAGCAACATTGAAAACAACCGCAGAGATAGCAGCAAACGCAGCAGCAGCAACAGCAGCAGCGACGGCAGCAGCAACAGCACAAACGAGAGCAAGACCAGCAGCAACAGCGACAACAGCAGCAGCCGCAGCAGCAGCAGCACAAACGAGAGCAGGAGCAGCAGCAACAGCGACAACAGCACCACCACCACAACAGCAGCAGCAGCAGCAGCAGCAGCAGCAGCAGCAGCAACAGCAGCAGCAGCAGCAGCAACAGCAGCAGCAGCAGCAGCTCACCGATAAAGGAGTTATATATTTTCGCCAGTGTGGCTCCCTCGCCCTGCTGCTGCTGAATTTGCTGCTGCATCTCCATCGCTCTTCGTTTGTGTATATCGTTGTGCACTTTACAGAACATCTTCAGCTGCATATACACCGCAAAACAAATACGAAGCAACGCTGCTACTGCTGCGGCTGCAGCTGCTGCTGCTGCTACTGCTGCTGCTGTTGTTGCTGCTGTTATTATTGCTGCTACTAAAATTGCTGCTGCTACTGCTCCTGTTGCTGCTGCTGTTTTTGCTGCTGCTGCTCCTGCTGCTGCTGCTGTTCTTCCTGCTGCTACTCCTCCTAATGGTGCTACTGCTGCTGCTACTGCTTTTGCTACTACAACAACTGCTACTGCTGCTGCTGCTGCTGCTGCTGCTGTGACGCACCGTGCAGTAGGGGCAGCTGACGGTGCTGTTGTGGTCTCGGCGCCTCATTTTCGCTGCTGCTTCTTCTGCTGAATCTTCTGCTGCTGCTGTTGCTGTTCTTGCTGCTGCTGGAGTTCTCGCTGCTGCTGCAGTTATCGCTGCTGCTGCTGCTGCTGGTTCTGCTGTGCTTGTTGCCGCTGCCGTCGAAGCAAACGTTGCTGTTTGCTGCTGATGATGAAGCAGCAACAGAAACTACTACCGTGAGCTGCTCTACGCAGCGCTAACCGCCCTATTGAGCTGCTGCTGTTGCTGCTGATGCGACTGCTGCTGCAGCTGCTGCTGCTGCAGGCACCACGTACAGCAGTGAACCTGCTTGCACCTGCCAGAGCCCCGAATGCCGAATGCTGCTGCTACTGCTGCTGCTGCTGCTACTGCTGCTGCTGCTCCTGCTGTTGCTGCGGCAGCGTCACCGGCGTCAAGGACCACCGCAGCACTTGATGCTGCTGTTGCTGCTGCTGCTGCTGCCCGGCCCGAGATCTACAGCAGCGGTGAGGCAGCTGCGAGAAGCTGCTGCTTCCGTACAGCTGTCTTTCTCATGGGGTTTGCTGCATCGATCAACCGTTCCTGCTGCTGCTGCTGTTGCTGCTGCCCCAGACGCTGCTGCGCCTGCTGCTGCTGCTGCTGCTGCTGCGTTAAAAGAGTAGCAGAAACAGACGAGTTCGCCACAGAGCCGCAGATATGCGGCTTTTTTAAGGGGAGCAATCTGCTGCTGTTGCTGCTGCTCAGGGGACTCGAGCAGTATTGCATGCAGCCCCTTGCAGCAGCAGCAGCAGCAGCAGCAGCAGCGGCAGCTGCTGCTGCTGGAGTAGCTTCAGTGCAGTTGCGGTCATGTGCAGCAGCAGTTGCTGCAGATCTACAACTAAATATTCACTATCTCTTAATTGAGGAGCATTTATATCAAAAAAGAAAGAAACAGCGGCAACAGCAGCAGCAGCAACTGCAGTAGCAGCAGCAGCAGCAGCAGCAGAAGGCCAGGCCCTCAGGCCAGCGACTTGAGCAGCAGCAGCAGTGTCTACAGCAAATAAACATTGAACAGAAGGCAGTTTCTTCTACGTGCATCTACTCCCGTTTATGTGTGCAGATTTAGGGTTTAGGGTTTAGGGTTTAGGGTTTGAGGTTTCAGTGTGTGTATGTGGCGATCGCTGAGGCTCTTGCCTTTACGCTCACTGCAGCAACCGAAGAGCAGCAGCAGCAGCAGCAGCAGCAGCAACAACAAGAGCAACAACAATAGAAGTCGCACCAGCAGGCTTAACAACACCTGCAGCAGCAGCACCAGCGGCACCAACACCAGCAGCAGCAGCAGCAGCAGCAATTACCGCAGCTATGATGAGTCCCCTGCACCCTTCTCAAGACGGCGCCACCCAGTTTGCTGCTAACGGCTCAGCGCCTGAGGCTGCAGAAACAGCAGCAGCAGCAGCAGCATCAACGCCAGCAGCAACAGAGGCAGCAGCGAGGCCCGATGACGGTCATGCACGTCCAAAGAAGGGAAAGGATAACAAAGGCAGCAGCAACAACAACAGCAGCAGCAGCAACGGCAGCAGCAGCAATGGCAACAGTAGTAACGGCAGCAGCAGCAACAGCAGCAGCAACACAAGCAACATGACGCCCCCAGCCAACATGTTTGAGGCTGCCGCTGAGAGAATGGAGCAGCAGCAGCAGCAGCAGAAGCAGCAGCAAAAGCAGAAGCAGCATCCGAAGCAGCAGCAGAGGAGAGGAAGCAGCGGCAGCACCAAAAGCAAACGAAGGGGTAGTTCGCAAGCAGACTTGTCGGTGGAGCAGCTGCAGCAGCAGCTGCAGCAGCAACGCGAGGCCTTTGCTGCAGCGCAGCAGCAGCATGAGGAGCAGCTGCAGCTGCTGCAGGAGCGTGAGGAGAGACTCACAAGGCAGGCAACGGGGGCGCTGCAGCGTATAAAGGCATCGCATGCGGAAGCGCTGAAGCAGCAGCAGCAGCAGCACGAGCAGCAGATTCAGGACCTTCAACAGGCACGTTGCTGTTGCTGCTGCTGTCATTGCTGCTGCTGCTGCTGTTGCTGCTGTTCGTGCTGGGGCTGTTGACGGGGTCCTTCATATTGTTGTTGCGTTTTCTTGTGCTGCTGCTGCTGCTTCTGCTGTGGCGGCAACCACACATCTTTATCTGCTTCAGGAGATCAAGGCTCTGCAGCAGCAGCTGGAGCAGGAGAAGCAGCAACGCAATGAGCAGGAGCAGCAGCTGCTGCAGCATCAGAAGCAGCAGCAGGCAAGGCCCTACAGCTGCAGCATTCACGAGATCTTCTGCTGCTTGTTTCTCTCAACCCCCCTTGGTGTTGCTGCTGCTGCTGCTTTTGTTGCTGCTGTTGTTGCTGCTTCTGCTGCTGGATCTTGCGCCCTTCACATGGTGGTGTGTTTTGGCGTGCTGCTGCTGCTGCTGCTGCTGCTGCTGCTGCTGCTGCTGCTGTTGCTGCTGCAGGACTCCACAGCCACTCACGAAGCAGCAGAAAGACAGCTGGAAGAGCTGCAGCAGCAGCACGCGAAGCTGCAGCGGCAGCACACTGCAGCTGAGTACGCCCTTTTGCTGCTGTTGCTGCTGCTACTGCTGCTGTTGATTCTGTCTTTGCTGCGTCTACTCTTGCAGAAAATGTTGGTCTATGTTGCTGTTGCTGCTGCTGCTGCTGCTGCTGCGGCTGCTTCAGGGATGAGCTGAAGACCGCAGCTCAGAAGTGCGAGGCCTTGGCGGAGGAACTGCAGCAGCAGCAGCAGCAGCTGCAGCAGCAGCAGCAGCTACAGCAACAGCAAGAGAAGCAGCTGTTGGAGGCAAAAGACAACCTAATGCGTGTAGGACTTTGTTCAGCTTGGTGCTGCTGCACCTGCTGCTGCGCCTGCTGCTGCACCTGCCGCTGCGCTTGCTGCTGCATCTGCTGCTGCCCCTGCTGCTGCATCTGCTGCTGCACCTGTTGTTGCAAATGCTGGTGCACATGCTGCTGCTTTCTTTCAGGTGACAGAGCAGCACGAGGCCTCTGCTGCTGCTGCTGCTGCAGCACAGGAAGCGAAGCAGCAGATGCACGAGCAGCTGGAGCTGCAGCTGAAGCAGCAGCAGCAGCAGCAGCAGGACATGCAGACCCTTCAGCAGCAGCTGAAGCAGCAGCAAGATGAGGCTGGAAGCCTCAAGCAGCAGCTTCAGCAACAACAGCAGCAGCTGCAGCAGCAGCAAAAACAGCACAACGAAGTTGTTGCCCAGAAACAGCAGCTGGAGGAGCAGCAGCAGCAGTTAGAGCAGCAGCTGAAACAGCAGCAAGATGAGGTTGGAAGCCTGAAACAACAGTTGCAGCAGCAGCAGCTGCTGCAGCAACAGCAGCAGCAACAGCATGATAATGTTGCTGCGCAGAAGCAGCAGCTGGAGCAGCAGCAGCTGCAGCTGAAAGAGCAGCTGCAGCAGCAGCAAGATGAGGCGGAAGGCCTGAAGGAGCAGCTGCAGCAGCAACAGCAGCAGCAGCAAGATGAAGTTGCTGGCCTCAAGCAGAAGCTGCAGCAGCAGCTGCAGCAGCAGCAGCAGGAGTTCGAGCAGGAGCTGAAGCAGCAGCAGGAAGAAACTGAAAGCCTCAAGCAGCAACTGCAGCAACAGCAGCAGCAGCAGCAAGGCCAAGTAGCTGGCCTCAAGCAGCAACTGCAGCAGCAGCAGCAGCTGGAGCAGCAACAGAAGGCTGAGGCTGAAGGCCTTAAGAACCAGCTGCAGCAGCAGCAGCAACAGCAGCAGCAGTTGGAGCAGCAGCTGCAGCAGCAGCAGGAAGAAGCTGAAAGCCTCAAGCAGCTGCTGCAGCAACAGAAGCAGCAGCAGCAAGACCAGGTTGCAGAGCTCGAGCAGCAACTGCAGCAGCAGCAGCAACTGGAGCAGCAGCAGAAGGCTGAGGCTGAAGGTCTTAAGCAGCAACTGCAGCAACAGCAGCAACAGCAGCAGCAGTTGGAGCAACAGCTGAAACAGCAGCAAGATGAGGTTGAAAACTTCAAGCAGCAGCTGCAGCAGCAGCAGAAGCAACAGCAAGAGCAGGTTGCACAACTCGAGCAGCAACAGCAGCAGCAACAGCAGCTGAAGCAGCAGCTTAGGCAGCAGCAAGATGAGGCTGAAGGTCTTAAGCAGCAACTGCAGCAACAGCAGCAGAAGCAAAAAGAGGAAGTTGCTGGCCTTAAGCAGCAGCTGCAGCAGCAGCAGAAACTGGAGCAGCAGCTAAAACAACAGAAGGGTGAGGCTGAAGGTCTTAAGAAGCAACTGCAGCAGCAGCAGAAGCAGCAAGCTGAAGCGGAAGGCCTTAAGCAGCAGCTGGACGAGGTGTGTTGCTGCACTGCTGCTGCTGCTTCTGCTGCTGCTGTAGTTAGGATGCGTTGCGTGTGCTGCTGCTGCTTTGATGCTGCATGAGTGTTGCGGCTGTTGCTGCACCATGGGTAAAGTTGCTGCTGCTCTTGTTTCGCTGCTGCCTTCAGCTCTCACAAAAGCTGCTGCAGCAGCAGGAGGAGTTGAAAAAGAGCAGCAGCGCAGCAGCAGCAGAAGCTGCAGCAGCAACGCAGAAGCGAATTGCAAGCCTTGAGAGCGACCTGGAGTGAGTTTCCGCTGCTGCTGCTGCAGTTGCTGCTGCTGCTGTTGCTGCTGCTGCAGTTCCACCTGCTGCAGCAGCAGACTTGGTGATGCTGCTGCCTTTTACTGCTGTGCTTTGCTTCTCAGACAAGCTCGTGCAGCTGCAAATGCAGCGAGCGCAGAGCGGCACAAGTTGCAGCAGCAGCTGCAGCAGCTGCAGCAGCAGCGCAAGCAGGAGCAACAAAAGGCAGGGGAGGGCGGCACTGGGGGTGAGGCGAAGCAGCAGCTCCGCTGATTGAGGTGTATTGACAGCTAGCAGCAAAGCGAGCGCATATTTATTTGCTAATTCTGCTGCTGCTGCTGTCGTTGCTGCTGCTGCTGTCGTTGCTGCTGCTGCAGGTGAGTGCGCCCCTAGGAAAAAGCCCCAGAGGCAGCAGGCAGCAGCAACTGCAGCAGCAACTGCAGCAAAGGCCAGCAGCGGGCATCCTGCGAATCGGGTGGATGCTCCTTTGAGGTAATTCGCCAGCAGCAGCTGCTGCTTTGCTGCTGCTGCTTCTGCTGCTTGCTGCTGCTTGCTGCTGCTGCGGTTGCTCTGCTGCTTCTGTCGCCTTTACAGTTTTTATGCTGCTTCTAATGTTGCTCGTGCTGCTGCATTTGCTGCTGCATCTGCTGCTGCTGTTGCTGCATGTCTGTGTGGGGTGTACATGCCTAAGAGGCGTGTTGATGTGCAACCTGCTGTTTGCTGCTGTTGCTGCTGCTTCTGCTGCAGGTCTCTGCTGCAGCTGCTGCTCTCCAGCGGCTATGCCCGCCTAGCTGCAGTGTTTTACTTTTTACTTATGAATGCTCTTGTGGTGTTGCTGCTGCGTAGAACAGCCTGCTGATAGACACCTGCAGCAGCAGCAGCAGCAGCAGCACGGGCGCAGATAGCCAGGGATAGCTTGTGCAACAAGCACTGCAGTAACAGCAACAGCAACAGAAGCAACAGGGCTAAGTGCAGCAATAGCAGCAATAGCAGCAACAGCTGCAGCAAGAATAGCTGCAACAGCAGCAAACAATTGATTGGCATTAAGTTTGGCGCCGTGCGGTCTTGCTGTCTTGGAAGTGGCGGTTTAGGGTTTAGGGTTTAGGGTTTAGGGTTAGGGTTTTAGGGTTTTAGGGTTTAGGTATTCGGAACTGAGAGGCTTTGGCTAGGGTTTAGGGCTTAGGGTTTAGAAGCAGCAGCAGCACCGCAGGAGCAGCAGCCTTGCACGGCGTCAATCAGAAGAAAACAGTGCTGCTCGACACTCCGTGTGCCCTGAACTGTATAAACCCTAAACCCTAAATCCTAAACCCTAAAAAAGTCCCCAGAAGGGGGGCCCTGAGGCACCTTCTACCGTCAAGGGTTTAGGGTTTAGGGTTTAGGGTTCGTTAGCTGAGCTCTGTTTAGGGATTAGGGCATAGGGGTGGGGGCTTACGAATTGCGGGTAGGGTTTAGGATTTAGGTTTGAGGGTTTAGGGTTTAGGGTTTACAAGCATAAGCCTGCAGGGCTCTCTGCGTTGGGGCTTTGAGCTCTCAGGCGCGTTAGTTCTTAGGGTTTAGGGTATAGAGTTTAGGAATCAGTATATAAGGTTTTATAGTTTAGGGTTGAGCTGGTTGAGCTGAGGGTTTAGTGTTCAGGGTTTTGGTGTATAGGGTTTTTTTAAGGCGTAGTTGGACTGAGGGTTTAGGGTTTAGGCTGTTAGTTAGGGTTTAGGGTTTAGGGTTTATTACTGCGTTGCTTAGGGTTTAGTTATTGTCTTAGTGTGTAAAGGGTTTCATGGGTTTGTAGCTGCAGCAGCAGCAGAGGTAGAAGTTTTATTTATTGTTGTTTATTTTTAGGGATTAGTTTTTAGGGTTTAGGGTTTAGGGTTTATGGCTGTATGGTGGTATAGGGTTTATTATTATTGCGAGGGTTTAGGGTTTATTGCGGTAAGGGTCTAGGGTCTATTGTTTATTGTAGAGGCATTAGGGTTTATAGTTTATTGTTTTTAATTTGCCTTCTTGAATAAACTTAAATATATCAAATATAATTTAAAAGAGCCACCAATGGGAATCGAACCCACGACCTTCGGTTTACAAGACCGATGCTCTACCACTAAGCTATGATGGCGACTGTCCATCCGGAATCCATAGCGTACACCCTATTTTAGGGTGTACGGTTTAGGGTTTAGGGTTTAGGGTTTAGGTTTTAGGGTTTAAGGTTTAGGGTTTAGATGAAGCGTTTAATTACTTTTTTCTTAACTAGACAGCAGAAGTAAACCATTAAAAATGCTGGGGGTTGAGAGACTCGTTGGCCGTTCTTTCTTCACATCTCGTTCCATACATTTTAATATATTTTATTTATTTGATTATAATTTATTTTATTTTGTTTTGTTTTATTTTATGTTCTTTGTTTTATTTAATATTTGTCTGAATTTGAAGGCGTAGTCTCTCCACACGGAGACAGACAGCACGGGATCAGCTGCCACCCCCCCGCGTTTGAGAGCGGCGTTTTGCTGCAGAGGAATTAATTATATTGTTTGGTTTTGTCTTTTTGTCTTTTTTGTTTATTTTCTCTATCTTCGTACTGCCTTAGGCCCCTGGGCCCTCCAAGACAGACACCCCACAATATAAGACAATACAATAAATAATGTAACAGCAACAGCAGCAGCAGCAGCAGCTGCTGCTGCTGCTGCTGTTGCGGAACGGCTGCTGCCCCTCTGCATCTGTTGCTGTGCCTGCTGCTGCTGCTGCCTATTGGATGGCGCGATACCGTTAGCTAGCTGCAGTTGATGTCTGCTCCAGGTGTATATAAAGCAGCTCCTCGACGCTGCAGCTATCTACGCAGCTAACTACGCAGCTAGCCACGCAACTAGCTACGTAGGTAGCAGAACAGCTAGCAGCACAGCTAGCTACGCAGCTAGCTACACAGCTAGCTACACAATTAGTTATGCAGCTAGCTACATACGGTGTCTGCACCTGTTTTCCGCTCGTGGATTCGCTCTAACATCTCAATAATAATAATAATGTACATTATTATTGTTAAATAATATATCATTATTATTTGGGCTATTAAAGAGAGAATAAAATATACTGCAGCCGGCGGCTCCTGGCAAGCACGAGTTAGCAGCAGCTACAGCAGCAGGAAAAAGCAGCAGCAGCAACCAAAGCAGCAGCAGCAGCAGCAGCAGCAGGAACAGCAGCAGCAGCAGCAGCAGCAGCAGCAGCGTGTGCGCGGTGTCTACATAGTACGAATGAGTATTCTCATATTGCTATACTACAAAAAATATATAAAATATGTATTATATAATATATTAAATATATTAAATAAATATATTTCTATGGTTCGGAGGTTTAAAATTTCTTACAAATAAACCAAATAAAATATTTGTATAAAAAAGAAAATCAACAAAAAACAAAAAAGATGCGGATCCCCTCTCCGCTGTATACTGATTGGCACCTACTGCTGCAGCTGCTGCCGCTATTGCTGCTGCTGCTGCTGCTGCTATTACTGCTGCTTCTGCTGCTGCTATTGTTGTTGTTGCTGCTGCTGCTGCTGCTTATTCCGCGTTAGGTAACAGCCGCCTTCGTTTTGCATCCGTCATTTCATTCGCGGGGGAAGGAGAAGCCTCCGTCTTGAGGCCTTCTTGGGGGGCCTCAGCAGCAGACGTTTCTGCTGCTGCTGCTGTTGCTGCTGCTGCTATTGGTGTTGCTGCTGCTGTTGGTGCTGGTGCTGCTGCTGGTGCTGCTGCTTGCGCCTCTGACCCCGCAGGCGCCATCACCGGCCCCTCTCCGCTGTTTGCGCAGAGGGTTTCTGCTGCAGCAGGAGAAGCGTTTGCTGCTGTTGCTGCTGTTGTTGTTGTTGCTGCTGATGCTGGAGACTGCTGCTTCGTGGCTGGCATGTCCAGCCGCCGGCGGCCCCGCGAGAACCGTTCGCCCTACAGCAAAATAAAAGCAGAACCAGCAGCAGCAGCAGCATTAGCAGCAGCACCAGCACTAACAGCAGCAGCACCAGTACTAGCAGCAGCAGCACTAGCAACAGTGTTCATGCTGCAGCAATAGCAGGAGCAACAGCAGCACCGCTATCAGCACCACTAACACCACCACCAGCAGCAGCAGCAGCAACGCCGCTACAACACCGCTATCAGAACCCGCTAGCAGCACCAGCAGCAGCACCTCAACGAACAAGCACCGCTAGCAGCAGCAGCAGCAGCAGCAGCAGGATTACTTCTTCTTTTTTGAGTTGTCTGATGATTGCTTCTGCTCTTCTTCCTAAGTCTGCTGGCGCTCTGGACCGAAAAAACCAGTCGCCAGTCCAAGTGCTGTCGCGCAGTATCTAAACGCAAACAAACAGAGGCAGCAACAATCCTGCTGCTGCTGCTGCTGCTGATCCTGCTGCTGCTGCTGCTGTTGCTGATCCTGCTGCTGCTGCTGCTGCTGTTGCTGCTAATGCTCCTGCTCATGCTGCTCCTGCTGCTGCTACTCCTGGTGCTAATGAATGCTCCTGCTGCTAATGCTCCTGCTGCTGTTGCTGCTGCTGCAACAACGCTAGCAGCAACAGCAGCACTATCACCAACACCAACAGCAGCAGAAGCATCGGCAGCAATAGCAGCAGCACCACCGGAAGCAACAGCAGAAGCAGCAGCAACCGCAACAGCAGCAGTAGCAGCGGCAGCAAAGGCAGCAGCAGCAGCAGCAGGGCGAAGGTTGCTGTATATTATGGGTTTTACCTGGCTGCGGAGTTTCTCCCAATTGCCGTAGCCTAAAATACACCCAAAGACAGCAGCACAATGTCAGATACCCCCAACACTTAGCAGCAGCAGCAACAGCAGCAACAGTACGAGCAGCAGCAGCAGCAGAAGCCGCAGCAGGATGTGGACGCAACGGCAGCAGCAGCAGGAGCAATCGAAGTTATTTCCGCAACAGAAGCAGCAAAAACGTAATCAGCACACTGGAAGCAACAGCCGCTGCAGCAGCAGCTACAGCAGAAGCTGCAGCAGCAGCCACAGACGCACCCACAGCAGCAGCAACAGCAACAGCCACAGCCACAGCCACAGCAGCAGCAGCAGCAGCAGTCACAGCAGCAGCCACAGCCACGACCACAACGACAGCAGCAGCAGCAGCAGCAGCAGCAGCATCCGGAGCAGCAGCAGGAGCAGCAGGAGTTGTTAGTGTACCTAGTAGGGTGGTGAGGTTGAGGACGAAGATGTCTTCTTCTTCAGCGAAGAAGGACTTCGACTTCGTAGCAGCAGCAAAATTCACTGGAAGACGCCGCCACGGGAAATCACTTTGCTGCTGGCGTCTCACAATTACCTGCAGCAGCAGCAGCAGCAGCAGCAACAACACAGCAACAGCATAAGAAGCAGAACGAGCAGCAGCAGTACGAGCAGCAGCAGTACAAGCAGCAGCAGCAGCCGTATGAGCAGCAGCAGCAGCAGCATCTCTATATATAACATTATAAAATGGCTACAGCAGAAGAGGGGGCAACACTAATTGCGTTTGCGCTGCTGCGCGTCGCCTGCTTTCTATAATTTTCTTCTTTGAATGAACGCCTCTCCGTATTCTTTAAATGATAATATATATAATATAATATATACAATAAAATATAACAGTTATATATACATATATACAAATATATACTGTACTTATTCTGTAATATATATTGAATATGTGTAATATATATTTTCTACAAGGGTAGTCCACTGAAACTGTGAATTATTGCATTTTACTTACATCACATAAATATAAATAAATTAATTAACTAATTAAAATAGATAAATAAATAAATAAATAAATAAATAAATAAATAAATAAGATATAATATGCAAAAGACACAGCACTTCCGGTTTGCTCGCCTGTTCTAACTCACATCTTTGAGCGACTGCCTCTCCGTCTTACACTTTACTAATGAATAAACAGCTAATAAATAAATAAATAAACAAATAAATAAATATATATATATAAATGTATATAAAGAAGAGAGTTTGACGGCTGTTACTTGTTCTAGTTCTCTTCTTCTTTGAATGACTGCCTCTCCGTCTTGTATCTTTTTCAGCAATTTCCGCCAGTCGCTCAATTCCTCCAGCCGACTCCAAAAGACGGCGGCGTATCGCCGGACGTCGTCCAGCGATTTGCCCTCCACCTCCGTCGCAATCCGCTCCAAGTCCCAACGCCCGTACATCTCACAGCCCCTGCATGCATGCATATATATATATATATATATATATTAGTGTATAAATGGATAATTAAATAAACACAATATAGACATATATATATACATGTTTATATGTATATATATGTATATATTATGAATAGTAAACATACAAACAGAATGTAGGCATATATATGGAGTAAGTGTCAAACAAACAGACAGAAAGGGCAGACATATACATAAATATATATATATATAGGTATATATATATATATATATATGCATATATATTTGCATATATATATATATATAGATGCATATAGGTTGTTTTGCTACAGAAGGAAAAGAAAGACAGAAACAGATAGACAGAGAAAGAGAACAGAAGGATAGACAGAAAACGAGTAAAGGAGAAAGAAAGACGAAGAGATTTAAACAAAAAGCAAACAAAGAGAACAAAGAAAAATATATCATCGCAGCTGTCTATACACCTGACGAATGCCAGCAAATCTCTCCTGGCCCATCCCCTAAAGCCCTCTGCAATTAATCTTTTTCTTTCTTCTTTTTCTTCTTCTGTTAGGGGCCTGCTGCTACCCTGAGATAAACTCCACTGCACATCAATCGCCTGCAGCTCTTCAAGTCGCTCTCTCTGGTAAAACTGCCACTCCTGCAGCAGCAGCAGCAGCAGCAGCAGCAGAAGCAGCAGCAGCAGCAAATGAACACAAGAAGCAGAAGCAGCAACAAAGAGAAAGAAGGACAAGCAGCAGCAGCAGCAGCAGAGGAACAGAGGCAAAGGAAAAGCCAGCACCAACAGCAGCAAAACCAAGAGGAGCTGCAGCAGTAGCAGCAGCAACAGCAAAAGGAGTTGCTGTAGCAGCATCAGCAACAAAGTGAGAAGAAGCGAAAGGAGCAGCAGCATTCCTTTTCGGTGCTTCGTTTGCTGTCGCCAGACAGACAACACCCAAAGCCTGCTGCTGCTGCTTCTGCCCCTTCAGTTTTTGCTGATGCTTCTGCTGCAGCAGCAACTGCTGCTGCTCCTTTTGCTGCTGCCTGTCTTTATGTCTTTTATCTCTTTCTTCCTCGCTCATCTGGCTGCGCCTCTTCAATCTCTTCTCTGTCTCTGTCTGTCTGTTGCACTCCGTCTCTTCTTCTCTGTAGCTATCTCTTTCTTTATCTTTATCTACTTACGTCTTTCTAAATCTCTCTCCTTCGCTCTTTATATATTTGTTTGTTTGTTTGTTTGTTTATTTGTTCTGTTTATTTCTTTTTGTGGTTTTCTTCATCTCACCTGCATAGTAGGCAGCTTGGGTATCCTGGGGATATGAGCGGGTTTGCTTCTCTCTTTGTTGTTTTGCTGCTGCTGCTGCTGTTGCTGCTCTGCTGCTGCTGCTGCAGCAGCATCTTTATAGCTGCCGCGCAGCCTTCTGCGGCTGTCTCTCTCAGCAGAAGCAGCAAGCTGCTCCTGTGCGATTGCTGCCCAGGCTTCTCTATCTGCTGCTTTTCTCTCTTCAGGGTAGCAGAGGTCATCTGCTTCGTAGAGGCTGCTGCTGCTGCTACTGCTGCTGCTGCTGAAGTCCAGCAAAGAACGCCGCACTTGCTGCTGCAGCATCGCATGCATCTGCTCCGTGCGCTCCTGCCCTCTGCAGCAGCAGCAAACAGCACCACCACAGACACCAACAATGCAGCAGCAACGGCAGCACCAGCACCAGCACCAGCAGCAGCAACAGCAGCAGCACCAGCAGCAGCGAGACAACGATCTGTTGATCGCCTGGGTGGATAATAAAGCGGGATGAGAGCAGCAGCAAATGAAGATATTATGTCTGGCTAATGCATAAATCTTTATGAATATCTTTTCTTCTTTTTTTATTCTTTTTTATTCGTTTTTATTCTTTTTTATCTTTTTTAATTCTGTTTCGTCCCTCTTTATTCTTGATTATTTTTTTATTCATTATCTTTATTCTTTTTATTCTTTTTTATTCTTTTATACCCTTTTAATTCTTTACTATTCTTTACTATTTTAAATTATTGTTTATTATTTTAATTAATTTATCTTGCATGCTTGATATACCTGGCGAGTATCGCGTCGAGCTCTTCTTCAGTGAGTTCGTTTTGCTGCGCCGGCTTGAAGATGTGCTCAGCCCCAAACTGAACCATCTTCAACAGCGCACTCGCACTCATCTCCGGCTGCCGCTGTCTGCCTTCGTGCAGTCGCCCCTGCTGAATTACTGCGGTGTCTGCACGTCCGTATGCAAATATCAATACAAATATAAATATATTTCATTTGCTTCATTTGCATTTGTTATGCAAATGCAAATGAAGCAAATGAAGCAAATGAAGGAAATGAAGCAAATGCAAATACGGCAGCAGCAAATGCAGCAGCAGCAAATGCAGCAGCAGCAAATGCAGCAGCAGCAAATGCAGCAGCAGCAAATGCAGCAGGAAATGAAGTAGCAGTAGTGAAGTAAGAGGTTGCTGACCGAGTTGTAGTTTTAAGTTTGCTCTTTCCAGCACTTTTTCTTCGACTGTGTGTTCATGGATCAAACGATAAACATTCACTGCCCGCTGCTGCCCTGAACGCAAACAGAAGCAGCAGCAGCAGCAGCATCATCATCATCAGTAACAACAGCAGCAGCAGCACCATAACCACCATCAGCAACAGCACCACCACCACCACCAGCACCACACACAGCACCAGCAGCAGCAGCAGCAGCAGCAGGGGGAGGAGGAAATAAAGAAGAAAGCGAAGTACCGATTCGATGAGCCCTATCCATAGCCTGCAGGTCTGCCTGTGGGTTCCAATCTGAATCGTAGATGATGACTGTATCAGCAGCAGTTAAGTTTGTGCCTAGACCGCCAGCGCGTGTAGAGAGAAGAAAGATATGTATATTTAAGCTGCTGTTATTGAAAGCAGCTATTTGCTTCTCTCTTTCTTCCGTTGAGGTGCTGCCATCTAATCGACAATAACTGAAAGACCTAATGCGACAGTAGTCTTCTAAAATGTCTAACATGCGAGTCATTTGGCTGAATAACAGCACTCTGCTACCCCCAGCTATTAGCCGCTGCAGCAAACAATCGCAAAAACGCAGCTTCCCGCTGTTCAATATCACGTGCTCGCCAAACGGGTCTTCGCCTTCCGGCTCATAGCCTGAACAAAAGCATAAACAAGCATAAGCAAATGCATGCAGTTATTCATATTAATCTTTACTAATATAAATGTTTACTAGTATGAATTGTAAATGCAAATCTATTTTACTTGTAAATGTAAATATATTTACTTTTATAATATAACAGACAAGGCTATTTATTTATTTAATGCATATATATGCTGCTCTCGCTGGCGGTGGCCGGAGCTCGTCTCGTAGCAGCATCAGCAGCAGCAGCAACAGCAGCATCAGTATCAACAGCAACAACACAAGCAGCAGCACCACGGGCAGCAGCAGCATCCAGTAGCGTCAAAATCTGCAGCAGCAGCAGCAGCAGCAGCAACAGCAGCAGCAGCAGATATTTCCTACCTTCGAAGAGATACGGGTGGTTGCAGGCTTTGCGCAGCTGCACCGCTAAATTGCGGAGCTGCGATTTGCCGCAGCCCTCGCCGCCCTGCAGCGCCGCCACATTCTTCGTAAGCAGATCCCGGTATAAAGTACGCTGCATCGCTGCAGCAGAAGCAGAAACAGAAGCAGCAGCAGCAGCAACAAGCACGCACTTTGGGGTGAAGGGCGCTGAATCGATGCAGCAGGAAAAGCAGCAGCAGCAACGTCATAACGCCGTGCAAAGCCCGCTGCGCATCTGCAGCTGCAGCTGCAGCTGCAGCAGCAGCTGTAGCAACAGCAGCAGCAGTAGCAACAGCACAACGCGACTAAAGGGTACCAGCAAAAAGATCTGTCTCTGGCTGCGCCCGCAGGGTTTAGGGTTTAGGGTTTAGGGTTTTTGCAGTACCTGAAAGGGGCACGAAGCAAATAACTTCTTTCTTTGGAGGCATCTCCTGCAGCACGTCTTTCTTTACTCGCCTGCAGCAGCAGCAGCGACAGCACCAGCACCATCATCAATGGAAACAGTAGCAGCAGCAGCAGCAGCAGCATCAGTAGCAGCAACAGCATCAGCAGCATCAGCAGCATCAGCAGCATCGCCAGCATCACCCGCGTCAGCATCATCATCATCATCATCATCATCATCATCAGCAGCAGCAGCAGCAGCAGCGGCAGCAGCAGCGGCAGCAGCAGCAGCAGCAGCAGAATGGACCTAAGCATGAAAGGCCTGAGTATCCTGTGGAGTCTGTTAACAATCGCCAGATTTCTTTCTTCGATTTGCTGCTGCGTGAGCGCCACCCCCTCCTCATCTGTTGCAGCATTTAAATCGAACAAAGACAAAAAATCTTCGCCAGATTCAAACAACTGCGGCAGCAAAAAATGCAGCAGCGCCCATAACTCCCTCAGGTTGTTCTGCAGCAGCACAACCACACACAAGCAGCAGCAGCAGCAACAACAACAACAAATGTGTCAGGCAAAGCTTCAGCCTCCTTGTAGGCAGCACCTCTAGCCGCACCTTGTGCTGCTGCTGTATTAACAGCAGCAGCATAGCAACAAGCAAATGCAGCAGCAAAGTAAACCCCAATGGGGTATCTCGCGGCAGCAGTCAATAGGCGCGCTCCTCATTCTTCTGTTTAACTAGACGGGAATCGGCTGCTGCTGCTGCTGCTGCTGCTGCTGTCGCTGCTGCTGCTGCTGCTGCTGCTCGCAGTCCTACCTGCAAAGGCGTTCCCGTTAGCAGCAGCCGATATTTCGATGAGAACTGACGAACAGTTGTAGCCAGCTTCCCTGCAGCAACAGCAGCAGCAGCAGCAGCAATAGCAGCAACAATAGCAGCAGCAGCACCACCACCACCACCAGCAGCGCCAGCAGCACCACCAGCAGCAGCACCACCACTAGCAGCACCACCACCACCAGCAGCAACAGCAGCAACAGCAGCAGCAGCAGCAGCAGCAGGATGCTTACCTGCTTCATTTTTAATTCTGTGTGCTTCATCGATGATGATATACTGCCACTCAATTTGCCCCAAAATATTTTTCTCCGCCATCAACATTTCGTAAGACGCAACGACGACGCTGACAGTCTCAGGCACAGGCTCCTCCTCTTCTCCTTCCTGCTGCTGCTGCTGCTGCTGTTGCTGCTGCTGCTCCTTCTCCTGCTGCTGAGGCTGCTGGTGGTGCTGGTGTTGCTGTTGGGAGGCTTCTTCGTCGCCGTCGTCCTCCTCTGCAGGCTCTTCATCTTCCCGCTGCTGCTGTTTGCTGCTGCTGCCGCTGCTGTTGCTGCTGTTTCGTTCAAGCAGCGGGCTTTGTGCCCTGCTCCTAGCTGCTGCTGCTGCTGCAGATTGCCGTTGCTGCTGCTGCTTGCGGCTCTGGTACTGCTGCTGCGTCTCTTTAACAAGCTTGCATGCGAACAGAAGGTGGTGCAGCAGCCTCTTCCTCTTCTCCTTCTCTCCTAATATCTTCACGGCGCCCAAAGACGGGCAAAACCGACGCAACTCAGCCATCCAGTTGCCTGCAGCAGGAACAACAGCAGCGGCAGCAGCAAGAGCAGGAACAACAGCAGCAGCAGCAGCAACAGCAGCAACAACAGCAGCACGGAGATGGAGTAATGCAGCAAGGAAACCATAAAGGGGATCCCAAGAGCAAAAACAAGCAAAAGCAAACAAAGACAAACAGAAACGCAGCAAACGAGGCAGGAGCATCAGCAGCAGCAGGAGCAGCAGCACCAACAGCAGCAGCTGGAGCAGCAACAGCAGCAGCACTAGCAGCAACAGCAACAGCAACAGCAGCAGCACAAGCAGCAGCAGCAGCACGAGCAGCAACAGCAGCACGAGCAGCAGCAGCAGCACGAGCAGCAACAGCAGCAGGATGTCTGACCGATGGTGCTTTTAGGTGCGAGTATAAGGTGCGGCCCTTGGATATGTTTATATTCCTGCAGATAGCCTAAGAAGGCAATCGTTTGATACGTCTTCCCAAGCCCCATCTCGTCTGCTAAGAGGCCGCTCAGACCCTTTGCATGCAGACGCGCCAGCCAGCGCAAGCCCTCTACTTGGTGAGGCTTAGGGGGCAGCAGCACGCAGGAAGGTACACACACTTCTGCTGCTGCTGCTGCTGCCGAGGCTGCAGACACAGGTACGCCTGCTGCTCCTGCTGCTCCTGCTGCAGCCCCGCACTCCCCATCTTCGTCCTCCTCCCCTTCCTCATCCGCTACGCTACTTGTCCAACGACCCCCACGACGACGCCTGCTGCTGCTGCTGCTGCTGCTGCTGCTGTTTTTTTCTTGTTCTTGGGAGTCATCCTGCTGCTCTAGTTCTTCTTCGCCTTCGAGCTCCTCCTGCTGCTGCTGCCGCCGCCGCTGCCGCTGCTGTCGCTGCTGCTGCTGCTGCTGCAGCAGCACCTGCTGCTGCTGCTGCAGCTGCTGCAGCTCCCTCAGCTGCTCGCCTACGTCTCTCGACGGGTCATATCTGCCGCTGCAAATCAAATCCAGGAAGCGCTCTCCGTGCTGCAGCAGCAGCAGCAGCTTCCCGCTCTTTGCTTTACTACTCCCACCCTCTCCTCCCTGGGCCTTGCCAGACATGCCAGCCATCCTGCTGCTGCTGCTGCTGCTGCTGCTGCTGCTGCTGCTGCTGCTGCTGCTGCTGCTGCTGGGGCTGGTGGTGCTGCTGCTGCTGATGGTTCGGCTGAGCTCCTGCGCATGCTGCTGCTCATGCTGCTGCTATTGCTGCTGATGATGATGAAGAGACTGCTGTGCTGCTGCCAGCTGCACACCCACGAGGGTAATAGGAGCCGTAATTGCTGCTGCTGCGGTTGCTGCCGTTGCGGTTGTTGCTGCTGCCCGTGCTGTCACCGCTGCTGTTGCTGCTACTGCTGCCGATGTTGATAGATGTGCTGCCTCTATAAGTCAGCTGCATCGCTGCTGCTGCTGCTGCTGCTGCTGCGGCTGCTGCTGTTGCTGCTGCTGCGGCTGCTGCTGTTGCTGCTTCTGCGGCTGCTGTCGTTGCTGCTGCTGCGGCTGCTGCTGTGGAGGCCGTGAGCAAAGGTCTACAAAAAGAAGGCAGCATGAAGCAGCAGCAGGAGCAGCACTGTTGCTGCTGCTGCAGCAGAACTGTTGCTGCAGCAGCCAAATGCTACTTGCTTATCTTATCCGTTGCTGCTGCTGCTGTTGCCCCTGCTGTGATTTCTGCTGCTATAGCTTCTGCTGCCGCAGTCACTACCGTGCAGCAGCGGCAGCAGCAGCAGCGGCAGCAGCTGCTGCAGCAGCCTCTGGGTAATCAGCTGCAGCAAAAGCCCCACGGGCCACTCGATTTCGTGTGCGGCTCTAAAAAGGGAGTTCCTGCTGCTGCTGCTGCTGCTGCAGCCGCGGCTGCTGCTGCTGCTGCAACCAGAGGTACTAGCTGAAGCCGCAGAGACACCGCCCTCTGTCGCGTCTCCTCTAAACCCTAAACCCTAAACCCTAAACCTTTAGACTTCCACCCTAAACCCTCGGGTGGAGAGACTGTGGCCTAAACCCTAAACTAAAACCCTCAGCTCTAAGGCCGGTGTTTGCTTCATTAGAGCGTTCTTCCTAACAACTAAAAAGAAAAGATAATTGCTGCTGCTACTGCTGCTGCTGCTGTTGCTGCTGCTGCTGCTGCTCCTGCTCGAGCCGGCTGCTGCTGCCAGCAGCAGCCCCCGGTTACCGGCTCACTGGGGCCTCCCGTTGTTGTTTGCTGCTGCATGCAGCTGTAGGCGTTTAGAATGAAAATAAATAAATAAATAAATACTTCAGTAGCAAAATAACTTAATTTTTCATCGACTGCTGCAGTAACAGGGCGCAGACAGCGCAGCAGACAGACACAGAGATGCAAGGCGGGCCCCCCAGCAGTCTTCTTCCTGCTGCTGCTGCTGCTGCGCTCTTCCAGCTGCTGCTTCTACCGCTACACGTGCTTCTGTTGCTTTATTCCTCTTACTTCTGCTGCGGCTAACCCTGTTGTTGTTGCTGCTGCTGGTGCTGGCTCAGGTGCTGCTGCTGCTACTGCTGCTGCTGCTGCCGTTTCCCGGTAGGAGACTGCTGCTGCTTGCGCAGTTTGTGCTTCTGTGGTTGCCGCTGCTCTTCCTTTGCTGCTGGCGTAGCATTTACTTCTGGTGTCGCAGCTGTTGAAGCACTGCTGCTGCTGCTGCTAGTGAGTCTGCTGCTGCTGCTGCTGCTAGCGTCGTCGTTGCTGCTGCTGCTGCTGCTAGACCGGCTATTAATGCATTGACCTCCGCAGAAAATTTATCAGCAGGGAAAAGGAGACGGTCTGCAGAGGGAGAAAGTGCAGTCTGCGGTGTACGCACAGTCAGGCAGCAATACACTACATACACTACCCCACTTTGCTGTTGCTGCTGCTGCTGCTGCAGCACAGCAGTGGTAACAGCGCAGCAGCAGACCCTCAGCAGGAGCACAGCTGCAGCAGCACCGCAGCTACACAGCGACGGTGGTACTCTGAAGCAGCATCTCTGCAGCAGAAGCTGTGGCAGCAGCAGACCAGCACCAGCCTTCAAGTTGCTGCTGCTGCTGCAGCGGGAGAGTCCTTTCATTTGTATGGTTTTGTTGTCTCCTCATTCTTCGGCTGCGGGCAACGGAGTGTACAGACAGCCCTAAAGAAAAGTGCGTAGACAGCCCGTCGACGTATATATATATATATATATATATATATATA